CGGTTTTGGCATAAGGGCGTAGTTCATGAGATAACTCATCGGAAACTTCTTTTTCTCTTCCCTTTCCTTGCTATTGCAGACAGCGGTCTCGGAGTATGCACCAAGACTGTCCACCACAAGCAATAAGCTCCCCTTGGGAGCAGCCTCCGTTACCCTGAGTAGAAAAGAGGTAGTTTGTGATATCGAGGCTGCGTAAAGCTCATTCAGGGTGAAGAGAAGCGTAAGCAGCGCGGGACCAGGACCGATAGCCGCGCGAAGGTCTTCCGTGCTATAACTCAGCACGTTGGCGCGCGTGAAAGTATGACGAACAGTCCCGGGCGAGAGGAACGACGCATTTGACGCACGAGCCGCAGCGCTGGCATACTTTGAGAGCGTCGGAGGGGTCTCGAGACATTCATGTAGCTTCGAGAGCACAACAGACCAGTCCGCGGTGTCGATCAGGTCAATATTGAGGAGCGTCGGTGAGGTTTCACGCTCTGGAACTGGTAGAGCTTGTAGGTCTTTCGAGGTATCTTCATAATTTGGAGATAACTCTGGCCTGCCGGCTGCGGCTGATGGTCGCACATGACGAAGAAGACCCGAGAAAGCCATGATTTCAGCTGCGCCACCCCCGAAACATAAAACCTTGGCTGCCTTCTGCTCACGATCGCTGTCACAGCCAATAAATCGTTGGACGTAAGCGTCATCAGCCATCTCCTCACAGATCCAAGCCATGAGTTGCGCGTACGCCAGCGCACGGCTGGGGCTCCAACGGATCGCATACGCCTCCAGATATTCGGCCTTTCCAAAGGCTATGTCAAAATCCCCCGAGAGCAGCGCGCGATTGATCTTTTGCAGCCTCGGCTTCAGAGCCTCGAAGTCGTTGCACGCGGGGAAGGTGGTGCGAAAGACGTTGATCATTAGCTGTTCCAGTCCCACCGGGAGGATGTGATTCAGCCTCCGCGGCTCTGCTGATTCCGATGCTACAGATGGACGCTGAGGCTTCTTCCTCTTGTGGAGGTAACCAGGCCCAGTCCAGCCCGGGCGGCTGTGAGATAACGGCGGTGGCGCCTTCGACGCACCGCTGTCTGAGGATTTCCCATGTTTCGGTTGCGACTTGGCTTTGCGATCGTATTGACCCATCGTGTGCTGGTAGCCGGGGAGAACTTTGTTGACGTCCAGCAGTGCGTGAGCCTTTGGCTGCGATTTCTTGTAGAGCTCTAGGCCCGCCACAGATGCCTTGCATTGAAAATTTCCCCAGAGCTTTCCTACCCCACACGACCTAGTGTAGACCGGCTCCCAATTGGCTTACAGGCGTCCATGAAAACGACTAAGCAAACCATCTTTCGTCCACATCGACGAACGCGTCTCACGTTTGACATTCTATGTATTTCTTTACACATAACTTCTTAGTTATGACTTCCTAAGAAGAGTAGAAGCAGCCCCGGGAAACTCATTGCTTAATTTTTTAAGCAATTGTTTAACTCCTAGAAGTAGTTAAGAATTGCGCGACGACCTCGTACTAATACTATCTAATCAATGACTGAGCGGCAACACAGGGATGAAACCTTAGATGGATTTACGCTTTGTACATCCACCACTCGCAATAGTGTTAAATGACGTTCTCGCCTTCGTTGAACCACTACAAAGGTACTATCCAAGGAATCAAAGAGTTTGGGTTTCCTTTCGCGTCCTTAAGAATTAAGACTGCAATCTCCCTACACATCGTTTGATTAGTCCGTTGTAGTCCTGTTGCAACGCCTGTGAGCGTGCATTTCTCTCATCACTGTGTCGATTCTATTTCCCTTGTCCAACAAGTAAAGTGTGAATGAATTTCGACCTTTCACATGGCCGTACGTAGCAAGGACAAAGGGCAGAGGGACGATAACTAGTGTGGTAGTGTGAGCATAACGCAATCGATAAATAGAGAGAGGGCCCTATACATAATGATCAGAGACCACCCAGGGGCTTCGAGGAACTTCTCTACGTCTAGCGCAAACAGAGAGCTGGGGAATGACAAACACTCTATTGATGTAAGTAGATTCAAATCCGGATGCACTGCGATCTGGACCAGTCTGCAATGGAATGCCAAGACCACTCGAAAATCGGGTAGGTTCCCGCAAGGCCCACCGGCACAATCTTTTGGAACTAGGAGGCAAGGATGAGTAACTCGATGAACTGCGGCGTAGAATCCAACTTGGCATTGCCCTTGCCGTGCCGCCTTTCATTCGCTCAAGGTGCCATGATGCAAGGGGAGCAGCACTTTAGGCCCTACGAGGCTTCCAAATTCACACTAATCGGATTCAATTTTTCAATGTTGGCAACATTGCACTTACTTGCGAGATTTTTGTGTCTGCTTTTGAGAGAGAAAGAAGGTGATGAGGGACACCAAAGCCGATGAACGATAGACTGTTGGAATGGCTGTTGGCCTAATTATGGGTTTCTCGTACGACCTCGGACAATCTTCGTGGACGCTAAGGTAGAAGGAAATATATACGCTTATCCGACATACCCGAACAACGTTTATTCCAATACGAAAATCCCCAAAGAAATCCATTGATTCAAAGGAAACAGCTGAACCTGAGAGCTCTGCTGAGGATCAAACCTGCTAGATAACGTTTTAATCCAAGAGTTGTGTGTGTTCCTGGGACACGATGCTGCGATCGTTCCAACTTAACAAGATCACTCTGGTGAATTTGAGGCGCTCCCGATATCGCCGGAGAACTACAACGTGAGAATATAGCTTGTGTTCTGGTTAAAGTGTTCGACGCTCTTGTATGTGGAGGGCCACATCACGACGAATGTTTCTATCTCGTTCAGTATTCGATGGCTTCAATAATCCTACGATCTCTTTCAGCCACCACATACGACCATACCTATTGGAAAACTCGGGATCCCGTCCGCTCTCCCATAGATAAGCCAATGAGGGCCGGATTAGTAGTTGGGTCGGTGACGACCAGCGAATACCTGGTGTTGTATGTTTTTGGTTAGGTCTTTTTTTGATATCTCTTCGTGTATACTCTTGCGGACAGATCTTTTCATCTCCAGATCATTTTGTTGCGGTTTTGAGCCACAAGCTAAGTTGGCCTGGTGTCTTGACGTCGATTCAGTAAGTTTCGAATGTCAAATAGTTGAGAACTTGGTCATACCTGAGGGCCTTGCGCCCTGCTTGGCCAAGTCTCGGGCGATATACGAGTTCTTGCTCAGTCAAGGCGACTAGCTTACAATGAACGGAATTCTCTCTTCTTCTATGCGCGAAGCCAATACTTATGTAGGAGGGACGGAAACACTCTCGTTTGCCGATTGGCCGAACTTCCAGGTTGTTGAGCCTTCACATTATCTAGAAATTTTTGAATAAGCTTGATTACAGGGAAATTAAGAAGGGTCAGTGACTTGGCAAATCCTAAGTCCTAAATGAAAGTGATTGATTAACATGAGCTACCTTTCAACGATATCCCAATGTCAATCTGAATCCTCGGACAAATCAATGGGGATGAAACTCCGCGTGGGAAGATTACATGGAGCCTCTGTAATTTGGAAAGAACTCGGCCGGGGAGCCCTCATGAAGAAAGCTTATTGGTATTTTCTCGACACTTTGACAGCTGCGTAGCTAGACCATGTGAAATGATAGATAGACCAATCAAATACAGATCGTTAACGTAGATGATGAAGTTCATGCGCTCAGGACGTAATTATGCAAGGTGATTAAGGTAACTACTTGCCATATTGCAGGAGACACGATTTTTAGGACTGCGTCTATCGTTTCCTTGTAAAGCTGCGGTCAGACACAAGTTTTTAATTTATTGCCGAAGTCGTAAGTTCATGTTGAAGAACACTATGGAATTTAGGGTTGATGATGGACAGACCGGCTAGCCGTTTTACCCGTCTTCCGGTTTTGCTAACTTTGGTTACTCGGACTAAGTTGACAACTCTCGAAAGCTCTTTAGCGATTGAACGAAGCTCAACTCTATGAAAAAAACGCACCGATCACTCTCGGTCTCGGTATTGGCATCACTTGCCAACAATATCATGTATTCTGCAGCCGTGATATCCGTTGTAACAATATCAGCCGGAATATCCGAATTCATGAGGCTAAAGTCGCGATGCTCACCATGAAGAGGCCTTGAGCATCGGACAACGTGGCAATAATCTGACGGGACCGTACACATCGAAAATGGACCGGAAGTATGACCGTCGTTCCGGTGGGCTGAAACCACAAACAAAGAGCTGTGGCGAATCGGAACTGCTGTTGGATCACGACCAAGCACTGGGCGAGTTCAGCCTTCCCTTCTAGACGCTCGGCCTTGCTCAGGGCACCGACCTCCGAAGAGAGGCTAACGGAGGACAGTCAAGTCCACCTGCGGATTATTCTTTGCCGCTTTCCATTGAACAAGTGACGTCAAATTGAAGGTCGGGGTCAGGTCCGTCGCACAAGTCAGTTGGTGTATCACACATCAGATGAGACCAGGCACACACTACAAAATTTACGTTTGTGGTGAGACTCCTGTCCGCGGTGTGGCGGCCCTGTTCTCCTCTCCTTGACCGTTTAGAAAATCTCCCGAAAGCTTTTGATCCTCATCTCATACAGTATTTCATTCATGCCAAGAGATGGTCTCATTTTCGCAACGTCGCATTGAGCAGGCGAGTCATTGGCAAAGCGGTCATCTGAAAGACGGTACTAGAGAGCACCACGGCGTCCAACACCAAATGTAACATCATTATTTGCATAGTAGTGGCACACGTAGTGAATTAGCAAGTAAAAAGAAAGAATCCGATGACTTCCGCTTCTATCATCTCATTGATGTTTAAGCAGCCCGAACCTAGCCTGGTACTGATCGCCGTTGGCATCATGGACGACCTTGGCATAGTCATATTCTGTTTGGAATCAGGCGTTAGATGTAAGCAAGGTCCTTGGCAGTTAAGAGAAGAGATAAGGTGGCAGAGGAAGCTCTTTGTGTTTTCCAGCTGCGATCGGCCAATACGGCGATGTAGTCTTTCTGGTAGGGGGCAAGAAGTGATGTTCAACGTGGTGAAGATTCATCCTCGGCCTTGAACATGCGCTCCTTCGGCCCGGCATCGATACAAATCGTGAGGCTGACGATAATGTGCGGGGGATAGGTGCTCTTTCCCATGATCAAATTCCTAGGCTACAGCTTGTTGAAATATCCTCATTAGGTTGTTTCTCCGTCCTACCCCTCGTCATCAAACGCGCGGGAGACAGTCGCCTCCACAAGACCAGATCCACAAGAGCTGTTGTGGGCAACAAAATCCTGATCCGGTGTTCCCGTAGTTTTGATTATGGAGCGATCACTTGAAGCCCCATTTTTAGCCAAGAGCGGGATGTGGGAAAGTTGTTAGCTTGCTTTGATGAAGCTTTGGATGTCACCAAATGACAGCTCTTTGACCTCCACATTGAAAGCTGCAAAGGTCTTGGCAGTGGGGTTCTGATCCAACATGTTTCCTGGTGGCTTGGCATCAGACGTTGTAGACATCGGGGGATGTATGGTCTACCTTGATCGATCCACCAACGCCATACGCGACAATGTGCCCAGAGATACACTGTTGGAAAGCAATTGAACTTGCTGACAGCTTCGTAAACAACGTCGTAAGCCCATTCCATACTTTCGTACTCACTTGCGTCAATACTGCTGTATTCGTAACGAAAAAGTTCCGACCTCCGAGTGTGGACTGAGAACCCCAGCCTATGTGAGACTCTCTCATACAGACATAGAATCACATAGAGAACCCTAACGAAGGCCACTAACAGGGCCTTATAGATGCAACTGCCAAGATTCCTTAGTTCGTGTTAGTGTCAAAAATCCAAAGCTTGGCTCGAATGCTGTGTACACACGCGAAGACCCTGCTGAAGGCCATCTCTCAAGGCAGTGTCCGTGCCATTTCTGGAGCAGAACACCCCGAAAGGTAGGAATACACGGGCTTTCTGCGCGGGGTCTTGGACCTTGATCGTTGACATCTGCAATGCTACCTCTAGTATCCCTGACGCCCTCGTGCTCTTGTGCTATTCTAGCCTGGTCTCGTGTGCCGCGGAACCGGGGGGATGCGCCTAGTGTTTCCTAGTGCCCGCAGTATCCTGGCACGTCTGATCACGATGTCAGGTCCCACGAGAAAAGGCCACCTCTGGCCTCTGAGTAGCTCAAATTTCAATATTCATCTGACGTGCGGCGTTTTGAACTTCATCGGTATTTCTGTTTACAACAACCTGAACCCTTCGAGTGGCTGTCACCCAATTTCTCTGCAGGTTTCGTCGTACGACCTCGGAGCTTCCCGCTCGTAGGAAACATTCTGTAGCGTCTCAGGATATGTAGTTGGAGGCAGTTGATCCTCAATCTCCAACGGTTCACTGCAGTCTAGCCACAACGAGATGAAAAGTTGAGTCCATCAGAAGAACACTCATTCGAGTAAAGGGAAAGGGGTCAAGAGGATATCATAAAGCGGAAGCGAGATGACAAGGGTGTCTACAACAAGCCTTACGAAGCCTTGGCCTTGGTGGATAATGACAGATTCTCCTATCGACAAGCGTATCGGTAATTTCATGACGGCCTCCCTGAGCTCTTCCAATTTGTAGCAACTTGCGATCGAGGAATGAAACCCATTGGCTGACGAGACTCGGGCAGGCGGAGCCTCGAGCTCCCCGAGTCTGGGTAGTCCCCTCTTTGACGCCGAAACGCGGAGGCGTTTCGCGGCGGGCCAAAGCGCCACCTATCCGTCGTCTTGGAAGACAAGCAAGACAAGGTCAAGGCTTCCTTTACCGAAGGCGAGATCCCCAGACAGAAACAAAAGTTGGAGAAATTCCCGAGATGAATGCCTTGGATAATGTCAAGGCCCACCGCTGGGCGATGGTGAGGCTGTATCTCGTCGGTATGTTGGCGCGCGGGTATCTTCAACATCCCGCGTGCAACTTCGCATTGGATACTAGCGAGATCTTCCGGTACGACTACGGATCGGCACATCTTATTGCGACCCTTCCAATCATGAACTGCCGTTGTTTTGACGTGCTAGACATGGGAATGCCTATCACACGGGTTCAGTGTCAAGTTACATCGATCTCGAAGGATGAGTCTCTTGGTGTGGATATAAGCCTCAACGGCATGCCAAGTGGTGATAATATTATTTGCTACTAATGGTGGGTGGTGAAAATGGTGTATGGCCAGACTTATTTTCATTGTGTCGGCCGAGAAGGGGGCCTGAGACGAGAGAGTCGGCGTTCTGTGACGCTGCGCATCGGTGTGATTTCCTGATGAGGCTGACTTCGTCCCATAATTGCATCAAACTTTAGCCACTGGAAGAGAAGGAAACGAGCTTTTCCGTGGGTAGACCGGCTTCAAAATTTATCAAGTCCCTATGCTCAAAGGCGATTCCTACCAGACAGCCAGAGATCCGGGTCTGGAGCGGCGAGCATTGGAGCTATCAAAGACGCATTCAGGTTGCGTAGTAATCGCCGCAGTGGCCCAGAAGTCTGGACGACAGAAGCCAAGTCGTTCTCGCGAATTATGATTTGGCGTGCAGTGTAGACTTTGGAGTAAATACCAGCTTGGCTCATTGCCAGACCTGCACTGGCTACAGCTGGGAAAAGCCTCATCAATAGAGTGTGGGATTGGGTAAGTTTGGCTGGGTTCTGCTGGAGATGCGTTTCTCGGCGTTAACTCAAAAACAACAAAAATTCAGATGGTGCTAATGTACCCCGCGTATCTTCTAGCCGTAGATACTAGTGGCGATACATACGTGCCGGTCCCGTCAAATCGCATCTGCATGCAAATGATCAGTTGAATCATGCGGGCCTCCCGGAAAGGATCAAGGCAAGACCTGTACCCCTTTGTCCAAGAAGCATTGACGAGAGGGGTCGCAAGGCGCGAGGGTCGAGGGAGGGTAGGGAGACAGGCCAGGTCTCCAGTTTACCGAAACGTCGTAGAAGACGTCTGGCACTTGGTTGCCATGATCAGCGCATACAGGTCTGATTCGACAATGGCAAGGGGAGGTCTGGTGTCTTCTGACCGTCATATAGAATGGAATTTGGGATGTTGTTTGCCTCAGGAGCAAGGAGCCGGCCTGAATTGAAACGATGTGTAGTACACTTGGCGGACAGAGCGTCCTGGTGGTGCCGTGATGCCCCGACGGCATCCGACGAGAGTCGTTTAAGCTCGCACCGCCAACTCCAAGGTCCAAAGCTGGGGTCTGAGGGTTTGGGTTGGGTTTTCCTGGTTGTCCGTGAGTCCTAGAGGTGTAAGACCACCACCCACCAGACTTTCCCACTCGCCTCCTACTCGGAGATAGATCTTCACTTCATAAAAGAGAAAGCCTCCCTGCCCACTTTCGGGAGGTTTTATTGTTTAGTTCGCACGAGGGCGAAAGGCAATTGCCAAGACAAGAGACTAAAGTAATTAATCAGGTCTTGAAGATTCCTTCTTTTGGATACGCACAACAAATTGCCCATCATGCTCGACTTCCTCCGCCGTCACAATTACAAGGTGACACGTCACATCACATCTAATCTGTTGATGGTCACCTTGGTATTTGGCATGAGTGTATTCACATTCGGATATGAGGGATCAACACTCAACACCATTCAGGCTATGACGCGTGAGTATCTTATTACGGTATGAGAACCAGGAAGGACTAGCTGACAACGGGCTCTAAGCGTTTGAACAACGGTTCGGCGACTACATTCCAGCCAAGAAGGCTTTCGGGTTCACATCAAACAAGCTGGCTTATATGAACTCATTTCCTCTCCTCGTATACGCTGTCGGTGTAATATGTGGAGCTCAGATCGGCGAGCGATGGGGCCGGAGGCTGGTATTCATTCTCACCAACATTGTCTGTATGGCCGGAACCATCATCGTCTACACTGCAAAGAATTACAATCAGCTACTCGCTGGCCGAATGATTGTCAACTTCCACGTCGGCATGGAGGCATTCCTCATTCCAATGTTCCAAGCCGAGATCGCACCAGCAGCGGTTAGAGGCTCACTTACAGCTATCTACGGTGTAAACGGAGTTTTTGCAGCATTCATTGCGTCGATTATCACCGATGTTACGAGCAAGATCAAGGACGACAACTGCTGGAAGATTCCCGTGGGCATTGGTTTCATCTTTCCGGCCTTTTCCTTGTTCTTCTGGGTTTTGATTCCCGAATCCCCGCGGTGGCTTCTTCGGAAGGGGAACTACGCCAAGGCGGTTGAGAACCTGGACTATCTTTACGGAGCGATGCCGAACTACGACGCCGAGAAGGAAGCCAAGCTTCTCCAAGAAGCCCTCAACACGAGCGAGACCACTGGAAAGTGGAAAGACTTGGTTAAGGGCACGAACTTGGTGAGTAACTTGTTCCACGGTACAATTTATCCGCTAATGCGTAGTCTAGCGTCGTACCGTCAACGGCCTCATCGCTGCTGCACTGGCTCAACTTTCAGGTGCATCATTCTCCAACTTGTACGGCACAATCTTCTTGAAGAGCTTGAAGGTCATCGACCCTTTCATGGCAACCATGGTCAAGCGAGGCCTCTTGCTTGCGACCGCAATCACTTTCATGTTCATCATCGACAAGGCCGGTCGCCGCCCGCTTTTCTTGTACATGGGCTTCATGCAAACAGCAGTTCTCATGGTCATGGGTGGGCTGGGTACGATTGCGCACCCGACAGTTGATATCAACAAAGGCATCGTTGCTTTGACGATGATGTTTCCCATTTTCCACTTCGTGTCTTTCGGAGGCCCGTAAGTTGACCCTTATCAACGTGCATAGCGACCATAAGAAACTTTGTTGACATCCTATACAGTTTGCAGCTTACTAAGACCGAAATCCCCCACATCACACTTCGAGACAAGTCGGTCATGCTTTTCTGGCTGACTGCTAACCTTTGCAACTTTATCTCAACTTTCACGTTGCCTTACTTGCTGCAGGAACCAGCGAACCTTGGTTCCCGGGTCGGCCTGATCTACGGGTCGATCTCAGCCTGCGGCCTGGTCTGGGGTTGGTTCTGCATGCCCGAGATGTCTAGGAAATCTCTTGAGGAGATTGATGAGATGTTTGCTGCTGGCGTCCCAGCTTGGAAGTCAAGACGTAAGTTCATCACCACATACAGAACGCGACACCAAGATCGGAAAACTGACTCGGGAGCAGATTGGCGAGGCGAACAGACTGCTAGGATCACCGAGTTGGAGAACAACGGTGTGGTGCCTCGCGACAGCGATAGTGAGAGAAACAGCATCGCAAAGTCTGACTTACAGCCGGTTGTCCAAGAAAAGCCATCTAAGGTCTGAGACCTAGATCTGCACATTCTGTAAATACTTTTACGACAATCGCATGACACGAGTACATGAAACAGGGTTAGTATATGGTATGCGAGAAGGATAGTAATGATAATATCTGACTGTAATAAACCCCTGGTTTTGTTCTACGATACTCGTGACCTTGTTGAGATCGCGTGGCTTTCGGTGCGTGGGTGCCAGCCAGCCTTACTTCACTAGCTCAACGTGATTC